GGTGGGTGTGTGAACACCAGAGGGATGTTCGGTTGTGCAAGCGGAGAACACACTGAGATACAGCAGGAGCAGCCCGACTGCTCTGCATCCTCCTTGCAGACCTGCCTGGTGTGTCCTACCCCTGGTACCTCCTCCACGAATGTGACTATATCTGATCATGTGTCTCAGCCCTGGCCAGCTCTGGAATCTGACATGCCCCTAGGAAACCTGCAGCATCCCAGGTCTGACGATTTACAGGGGCTGGGGGAAAGGGGTCATGGCTTTGTGTTACTGAGATCATTCCCCTTTGTGTTCTCGCCATTGGGTCGGAGGAGGGCTAGTCTCAGGCTCTGTGCCTGATCTGAGGCTGGGAGGAATCTCTGCCCGTGTTCCTGCTGATCGTCCCCTACGGGAGCAGAGGGGGCCGTGCCAGTGTCTGGCTCCCCCACCCCTGCCGAGCGCGCTAAGCATGCGCAGGCTTCCCCACCTTGCCACTGCCTTGGCATACCAGTTACACAGGGCGGGTCCTGCGCTGCCGTCAGCCCTGCTCCCTCTCGGGGCTGAGGCGTGTAGTTTGCAGCGTGCGTCGGCAGGTGGGTGGGAGCAGGGGGCAGGAGCCTGGAGAATGGGGTGCGAGCGAGGGTGGAGCCTCCCACTCTGCGATGGTGCACGTGGGACCAACCCCATAGACACCCCCAGTCAGTGGGAGGTCCAGGATCACCCTGTATGACAAAGCCTGAGCCAGAGCTCTGAGGTAGGTCTCATGGGATAGCACGGAGCGGAGCTGATGTTTGGCTGGACCTCAGGAGCCAGCTCCTAAGAGTGGCATGCGTATGGCGCCATGAATTATTAATAGACTATTATTACAGCAATTAATTATTCATTAGCATTGATGATTATTTAGACAGCGCCTGAAGTGTGTGTTACTAGGCCGCAGAATGACCTCCCCGCGAAAGTGCTGTGACCTCTCCCCCCCTTCCCTCCCCCTCCCCCCGTCGCTCAGGGATCTGAACACAGGACAAGGCGTGGGCAAGGGGCTGCCGGGAGCAACCCTCAAGGGGGGAGAGACAGGTGTGTCTCCAGCTGTGCTTGTGTGCCAAATCCTGTAGCCTCTAGTCAACCCAGAAGCCCAGCCCCCGTCAACAGGAGCTTTCCCTGTGTCGGCGCTGCGCGAGTCGGCCCTGTGAAGCTGGGATGGTCGGTCAGTATCATGGCGGCGGGGCTACACATGTAACGCTCTCCGTTTCACACACCGGCATGCACAGAGATCTGTGGCCTCAGCCTGGCTCCCTAGCAAGCACCCAATTGGGATTTGTTTGCGCTGCCACCTGGTTTTCTTGTTGTAGGACGTGGGCTCCCAGGGAGCGTATCGATGCCCGGGGCTGCCCAGGTCTTTCTCGCTCTCCCTTGTCAGCATCCATCCCGCAGTGCCGGGCTGGCACCCTGCTGAGCCCAGGCAGCCTTTCCCCATGATGGGAATGTCAATCACCCAATGGGGGAGGACCATCAAGAGGAGACCTGGAGTACAAAGCCCTTTGCTGTAAGGTCGCTGGTTCTCACAGGCCCCAAAGTCTGAGGAGACTGAACGGCTCAGAGGATGTGGAATGGGGTGCACTGCCTCTACCCCTAGGTCCCTGCTTCCAGTCAGGCCTAGGCTTATAGCAGAGGGTCAGGGTTCCACTAAGGGCACCGTGGCAACTGGCATCTCTGTTGGCAGAAACAGCCCTCTGACATGGGTCAGGGATTCTGCCCTCCCCATCCCTGCTCCGAGGCCAGGCTAGCTAGTGGGGCAGTCAGGGGCGCTTGCGTTGCTGTGGCCCAGGCTATAGACCTTGCCTGGTGAGGGGAGAAATGTCTGACTTTGGGGCTGGGCATCCTTCCAGCCTCTTCTCCCAGCCCCGCCTCCACTCGCAGACGTTTCCTAAAGGGGAAGCAATCAGGGAGATAATGGAAGGGTTCAGGAGACAGGGAGAATCCGGCTTTCAGGCTTGAGTAAACAAAGGTGACTCATCCCCCAAAGCCAACATTCAGGGAGAGCCCAGACAACACAGCCGAGTAATCAGGCCCATTTGCAATGAGATTGGAGTGATGCAACGCAGATGCTGTGGCAGACCTCCCCCCGGGATGTATTGTCACTTAGGGGAATGCACCGTGACCAGCAATGAAATTAAAGGCCGATCCCTGCCTGGTGTAAATCCATTGCACTAGAGGTGATTCACCTAGCAGCACAGGGCCTGCCAAATACCAGGCCAGCAGTGCCTCTAGCCAGCTGTGCTGTGTCCAGCAGCGCTCAGTTCCACGTGCTTCCCCCTGAATGGACTGCTGCGCACTAACTTGCCTGTAGCGGAGGTCTCTTTCTAGCCCCAAGCTGTTAGTGGAGAGCCTGGGTCTTGAAACATGAGGGATTGGGTTCCCAGCACTTGTGGGGAGCTGGCTCTTCCTCCTTGTTTGCCAGCTGCTAAGTTACCATTTAAAAAGCTAAAAATACATGAAATACTTTCTGAATGGGACTCTTCCATGTGAATAAGGGCAACAGTTGTATGATCATCAATAGGGGAGGGGAGGCGGAGCTAGGAGATGGCCAGTGGGAGGGGAGCAGGTTCACATGCTCTTTACTGGGTGGGGAAGTGCCCATGAGAATCGTTCAAGGATAGAATTTGATGCCTCTCACCATATATTTGTATCACAGTTGGTGTAACTGTGGAGATGCTTAATATTCATATACATGTCTAATCCCTTTGGGAGTCTACTAAGCTCTTGTCCTTCCTGACATCTTGTGGCAAGGAGTTCCACAGGTTAATTACACTTTGTGTAGAAAGGTATTTACTTTTGTTAGCTTTAGATGTCTTGCCTTTTAACTGAGTTGGATCTGCCCTAGTCAAGGCAAGTGAGAGCACCGACTTTATCCTGTCTGTATTATTCATCGTTTTATAGACCTCTGGCATGTCTTTTCTTATTCACCTCCTCTCTAAACCAAACAGTCCTAATCCTTGTAATCTCTATGCACATGGAAGTTTTTCTATACATTGGATCATTTCCATTGTCCTTCTCTGGCTCGCTTCTATTTCTGCGATATCCTTTTGGAAAGGTCTAGATGCTGTATTGTTTGGTGATAGATGGCTACAAATGAGGTGGGTAGATAGATCACCCAGAGTGGCACACAGTATTCCAGGTGAGGGCACATCACTGATCTACAGACGACATTAGAATAGCTGCACTTTTATATTCTATTTTTCTTTATCCCTTTCCTGCCTAAACATCTTGTTTGCAATTCTGCCTGCCTGCCACTGCACACTGAGAGGTTCCCATTGAAACGGCTGCGATGGCGCCTCAGCCTTTTTCCTGAGTGGTTATGGTTAATTTAGAGCTCATCATGGGGTAGGAGTAGTTGAAAATGTTCCTTCCAACATGCATTATCCTGCACTTATCTCTGCTGAATTTCATAGCCCGTTGCCTTGCCCTAATCTCCTAGATTCACTGAACCCTGCCTTGCGGCTTCTGCTAGTATTCACTCAATTAAATCAGTGCCGTGGCAGCTGCAGACTTTGCCACTTCACTTTTCAGCCAGGCGTCCCACCAGTGGATGGGACATTGAAGCACGACACCGTTAGCCGTGTCAGAAAGGGAGTGGTTGTGCCTGCCCTTTGCTTTCGGTCTTTAACCCAGTTTCTAATCCAGGACAGTTTACCTCTCACCCTGTGATGACTTACCGGTAATTTCCTTAAAACATCTTGTGATGTGCTTGGTCACAAATCTTTTGAAAGCCCATCAGCCATGCCTCTAGTTCAGTTGTCCTCAACCCTTTCCACCCTCTCCTTCTGTCTAGCCAGCCCCCTCCTGCTGTTTAGAAATATGGGAAGGGAAGGTTGACTGCAACACTCTGTTACCTATTGATGACACACACACTGTCAGGCCCAGAATCTCTGCGTTAGTTAGTTGACTCCTCCAGAGAACTCCAGTAGATTGGAGAGGCACGTAATTCAATCTGCCCAGGGATGAACTGCCCCATTGTACTTTGTCAGCCATGTCTCGGCAGGCTGGTACATTTTAGAAAATAAACAGATCAAATGACAGCGTGAATCCTCACTATCATGCCTTGTATGCAATGCATGGTGTCTGGCTTGGAGATGGGCTATCCCACTGCAATGTGATCTAAACAGTGGACTGTACCTAGAGAGGAGGTTCGAGATATCTGGCTACAATATCTTGTGAGATCCACGAACAAGCAGGGCCCTGGCTTGGCCTGACACCTGACGTAGTTTGTTGTGCTGTATTTGTATGTGTGTAACCGAGATTATAAACTCTCTGGGAAGGGGCTGTTCTCAGGGAGTGTTTTTAGAGTGTGGGAGCCTGATCTGGACTGGAATGCAGGTGCTGCCCTAATACACTAACTAATTGTGAGCCAATGGCTCTGATGTACAGACTGCATTCTGTCTGGGTTAGGATGGACCAACCCTCATTGGGCATCCCATGTAGCACCGTGTCTGGGTGGCTATCGCTGGTGGCTGTCCCACACTGCTCCCTCTGTCTGGGTGAGGATGGGGGGATCTCGATGTCGGGCGTCCTATGCATCTGGATGCATGCCTGGGTAGGTGTTCGGTGTAACACCTCATCCTTTGAGGCCACAGCAGGGTGGCCCTGAGGGTCTATGTTACCATCAGGTGTCAGAGTGTAATGGGCACTATATTGGGACATAAGCCATGGTGCCAGAGTTCAAGTGCTGCAAGATGGGGGTGGGTCCATGTGCTCCCATGTGTGGCTGGTGACCTGTCCAGACTCTGTCTGACCAACCACATGGCCACTGCCATCCCCAGCGCTCTGCCCGTACTGCCTGTCCTTCTCCCCAAAAGCTGAGCTTTCCCCAGCATCCGTGCCTGGGATCGTCCTGCAGGGACTGTGCCAGGGAGGTTGGCTCAGGACAGACCAGACCAGTGGGAGCTTTGTGTCCCTCCCTTGCCAGCCCTGTTCTGCCTGCTCTCCCCCTCGCCAAGGGGCCTGACCCTGTGGTTTCCTCTTGCCAGGAGTGCCCTCCCGCGATGTCCTCCTGGTCTCAGCCATCATCACCGTCAGCCTTAGCGTCACCATCGTCCTGTGCGGGATCTGCCAGTGGTGCCAGCGCAAACTGGTAAGTGCCGTGACTCGGTGGTGGTGGGGCTCTGCTGCCCGAGGATTGTTTGGGTTAGGAACAGCTGGGGGGTGAGGCTGCCCCAGGCGGGGGGTGAGGCTGCCAGGTGGCAGGTAACAGCGGGGATTTAATTACACCGCTCGGGGCACAGCACGGGCAATCCGCGCTGCAGCAGCGTCATCCACGACTGTGGGGAACGAGAGCAGCATGAGGCGCAGGGCAGGGAAACCAGGGCAGCCAGGAGAGGAACAGCTGCCCAGGGCCAGGGCTCGGCCAGAGAGGACCAGGGACCGGCAGAGCCGCTGGTTTTAAGCAGAGAGGGAGTTTGGGGGAGCATCTCCTGAATTAGGAGTGTCACGCCCCAGAGCTGAGACTCCACAGTCCCTGGCGATTCCTCACTCACCTGTAATGGTAGGACCCCAACCCAGCCCCTCACCAAAGCACAAGGGTGGAACCACCCCGGAGACCCCCCCCCTCCACTCGTGCTGACCAAAGGGCAATGTGGCTCCCCCCCCCCCCCACAGCCTCAGCTGCTGCAGCTTCCTTCACCTCTGAACCACAGCTTAGAATATAACACAGCCAGCAGGCCCCCTGTCTTCTGTCCGTCCCCCCACAGAATGTGGGGCAGCCCCAAACTCAGAGCAGCCAGCCCCTGCTCCCCGCAGAATGTGGGACACCCCCAAACTCAGAGCAGCCACCCCCTACTCCCCACAGAATGTGGGGCACCCCCAAACTCAGAGCAGCCACCCCCCGCTCCCCGCAGAACATGGGGCACCCCCAAACTCAGAGCAGTCAGTAAGGGAGGGATCTCGCTGCTAGAAGCCCGGGTGCTGTGCGGTGCTGTCGCTGACATGGTTGGCTGGCTCGACCAGGTACAATACTTGGCAGTTTCCTTTCTTTACATTTCTCTCTCTGTGTCCTTCTTCCCACCCTGGATCAAGCCATGGGTCTAGCAAGATCCTTCTCCCAGCTGTACCTGAATTCTTCAGAGGAAGGCCAGTCCTTCCCAGACTGCATGGGGGAGTAGGGGCAGGAATGCTTTCCTGGCCCATGCAGTGGTGTGCTTGAGCTCTCAAACATGAGAATGTGATCCCTGCCTACACACACACACACACACACACACACTGCATAAAGGCCAGCAGCTGGGAAATCTACACTCCCCCTGCCTGGAGAGGGTCAGAGCACTGAGCAGGGACCAGCCCTGGGCCCCTCTCAGGCCCCACTTTGCCCCACTGGGTTTTCTTTTAAAGACAGGGAAAGCAATCAAGATCAAAGGAAAGGGCCGAGCCTGGAGGTCAGGCTTCTCTGAGCCCCACACCACACTATGGCCTGCACAAGGCCAGCATGCGTAGGGAGTCCAGGCACACCGCTGACCAGGAGAAGACATTAGCCAGGCGTTGGGGGGGAGAGATAGCTCAGTGGTTTGAGCATTGGCTTGCTAAACCCAGCGTTGTGAGTTCAATCCATTGGGGGCCATTTAGGGAACAGGGGTAAAAATCTGTCTTGGGATTGGTCCTGCTTTGAGCAGTGGGTTGGTCTAGATGACCTCCTGAGGTCCCTTCCAGCCCTGATATTCTATGATTCTATGAATGTAGTGGGCTAGGCTAGGCTAGGGTGTTCAGTTTTGTGCGACTAGAAATTTGGCAACCCTACGAGAGGCCCATGTGGTTTCCTCACCTTCCTGGAGGGGTCAGAGTCTCCAGCTGCCCACTACATTCCAGGCCTACTCTCCCCCAGGCTGGCTGTAGATCCCCAGGTGCCTCATCCATCTGAGCTGGGCCTGTACCTCTGCCCCTCTCCCCATGGAGGAGACAGGTACTCCTGGCTTTGCAGCCTCCTCACACCTCCGCCAGCACATGCCTTTCCCCACACAGTCCCTCACATATATACCCGGGGCAGGGGGTGTCATGCCCAGCCACCTCCTGAGTCCTGCAAAATCTGGCACGTGGCACCAGCAGCTGGCTGTTGGCTATGTGCTGCCTGCTGATGGAATCAGGGTTCTCACCGGCTCAGGGCTTGGATCTGAAGAATCTAAGGCTCTGCCCTCAGTTCACCCTAGCACTCACCTAATACCTCGCAGAACCCCCTTCCCCTGTGCTGTACCGTGTAGGAGGCGTGGTTGGGAGATGCTATTTGGATAATTCGTACTCATGGGACTTTCTTCAGTTCCATGTGACAGCTGCTGAGAACCACTGTGCCCCTGATGGAGGATGAGCAGGGATCCTGGGGCAGAGTTAAGGTGATTGTCAGAAATTTAACCATGTAGTTCCTGAGTTTGGAGAGTTTTTAAAACACCTGTAACTTTCCTCTAATGTTATTTTACAGAGCATTTTATTTTCAGACTTAATTCTGGTCTAACAAAGCTTAATCTCAGGGAATAAGATGTTTCATTTAGACACACACTGATGCTGCTCTTTATGCCTCTTGAAATTGGAAACTATCAAGGCTTGATTTTCCGCCTTCCCATTTCTAAGAATGCACTTGCCTGTCTGAGAAGTAGCAGCTCTTCCATTCACCTCTGATTGGGGTAGCAGTTGTTTCATTAATTTGGAATCTCAGCAAGATCCTTTACTTATTAATTCATTCAGATTGTTAATTAAATAGCAGAGTGACAAAATGTAACTTTCCTAACAGCAGCGCTCGCTTTCCCCAGCAGAAAGAAAGTTGCTTGTTATGAAAATCAACCGCAACCAAATAAATCTAATTGAGCTCATGGGGTGTCGGGGATCAGGAACAAACTGGGGTATGAGAGTGGGGGGTAAGATGCTCCCTCTTCTGTGTAAACAAAACTGCACATGATTTGAATAAGGGGGGCGGATACTGAGGGCCCAGCATGAGGCGTAAGAGGAGGAATTGGGGTACAGGGCAGAGGAGTTTAATTAGGGGTGCACAATGAGATGTCTATGGAAACACATTGGGGTATGCAGTGAAAGGCATAAAGGAGGTAATTTGGGGTGCACAGTGGGAGGGGTAAGGGGAGCCACTTGGGGTGTTAGTAACAGGTAGAAGAGCAGTCAGTTGGGGTTCACAGGGGCGGGTTAGTAGAGGTGCCACCCCTGGATGCCCGGGGCCCCTGGAGTCCCGTCCCACAGTGACAGCAGTGCAGCCATGAGAGGCATTTGCTGAGTGAGGCTCTGTGGTGGCGGCTGCAGCTTTTATTTTGCTCCTTCGAAGATGTGATAATTAAATGTTTGGGTGAAAATGTTTGTACAGCATAAAGGGAAGTTTTCGAAATAAATATATATATTGGTGATGCATGGTAATGAGCTGGCCCCTCTCCTGCTCTGCTCTGGCTCTGCATTGGCATGAGCAGCACAGGGCGAGGCAGGCTGCACAGCATTGCTGCGTTATCCCCTAATGACGCTAATGAATGGACCTGCGGCCCCCAACCCCTGGCCAGATTTCCCAGAGTGCCCTGCAGCCCCCACCCACTCCAATTCCCCACAGTGCCCTCCTGGCCAGGATTCAGTAGCACATTCTCTTTCGTTTCCCTCCGCCATGAAGCCTCTCTGTGCACGGCTGAGATTGGAAAGTGGGTCAAGTGCTCTGAAGGCGGCTATTTTGGGGGGGGGGGGGTTCACTCTCCAAACAACAAACATCGCGCTAGAAATAATGTCATCTCCCCTTTCCGCCTGCCCGGGCCCGAGAGGGAGAGGCAGGGCACCAGGAGCAATTAAAAAGCCATAGCACCTTCTTTTTAAAACTGGCGTTAAAAGGAGACAGCATCTGTCTTTCCAGAGGAATGTTGCTAGGATCGTCTCCCTGCTGCACCTTCACACACACAGGCAGCTCTCCTTCCCCAGCCCTCCAGCAGGTATCAGCACGGCTCCACCCCAGCTTCTATCTGCCAACTCTCTGGCTCCGTCACCCCACCGCCCGGATCCAGGCTGTTTGGCTTCCCGTGATTTATGGCCGGGGGAAGCTGGCATGTGGAATGTCGAGGAGGGCCGAGGATGTTTACATTCACAAACAAGGGAGTTAAGCGGCGATACTGCCACATTAATAAGTAAAGCCCTGCGGCCGGGAGCCAAATTAATAAACCAGGCAGCCTGGGAGGAAGTGAGATGAATTGAAGAGCTCCCCGTTCAGTGGTAACTGGGCCTGGGGCCAGGTTCAGAAACACTTCAGCCAGCCGCACAAGAGAAACAAGGACTCGCCGGGAGGGGAAGGACAGCCCTGGCCGCTGCCTGGGGCCAGCTCTCCAGGCTGCCTGAGGGTAACTAGAAGGGATAGGGAGCTAGGTGGCTGGCTCGGTGGGGTCGGGGAGCCGTGGAGTGATCAGTTGCCTGCGGTGAAGGGTGGCTTCCTCATCCTGAAGACTCTGCCACTGTTCCCACCCCCAACACCCTCCCTCCCTCAGAAGCATCCTGTTCCCAGTACCCAGGCCAGTGCTCTGGAAAGTGATACAGTTCTGCCTGCGTAAGCACTGCAGGGCCAAATCCGTGCCCAATCAGTGCCAAGCCAGAGTAGCTGGGCTGGGCACTGAGGACAGAGGGAGGAATCCTCTCCCAAGGTCACAGAGCCACAGCCCCCAACAGGTCCCCTTGGAAGGCCGAAGATCCATGCCAGGGTGAGGGGAGTCTACTGGCACTCCCCAGCCGCCCAAGTATCTACCTGTCTCTCCTGAACCATAGTTACCCCCCGTCTGCCAGCCAGCCGGTCTTCTCCCTCACCCAGACATCCAGACCACTATGCTGAGAGAGCATTGCCTGGCTGTCAGCAAACAGAGCAGCGCCTCCCCTCCATCCAATCCAAGGGAGATGCAGGAAGAGCTGGGCCAGCTCAGAAGTATCTCTGTGTTATAGCAGCAGCAGCACCTGACCACTGGCTCTCCTCACCCTGCTTCGCCTACTCCGAGTCCTGTCTGGCTAAAGGGAAAGAGCCCTGGCAGGTCCACTAGCTTCTCCGGGGCTAATGAGAGTTAATGCAGACGCTGCTGCCATGTGCCACCTGTTGGGAGCCTCCCGTGGGGACCAGGAGCAGCAGCTGATCAGAAGGGA